CGACCTCAACCCAATTGAGATGGTTTGGGATGAGTCGGACCGCAGAGTGAAGGAAAAGCAGCCAGCATATGTGGAAACTCCTTCAAGACTGTTGGAAAAGCATTCCAGGTGAAGCTGGTTGAGAGAATGCCAAGAGTGTGCAAAGCTGTCATCAAGGCAAAGGGTGGCTATTTGAAGAATCTCAAATATATTTTGATTTGTTTAACACTTTTTTGGTTACTACATGATTCCATATGTGTTATTTCATAGTTTTGATGTCTTCACTATTATTCTACAATGTAGAAAATAGTTTTTTTTTTAAATAAGAAAAACCCTTGAATGAGTAGGTGTTCTAAAACTTTTGACCGGTAGTGTATTTGCTTTCCAACCTGTGTTTTCCCGCGATTGTATTTGAAATCATGCGAAAGGCCTGTTTTGGCTGCATGCTGTTCACTGACAGATTTGCCGCGCGTTCCCGACTGTAGGCTATGCCTTGTTATTGGGATATATCCACAGCTAGGTTATAAAAAAAAGAAGCTATTGATCCTCGGTGGCTAAATTATAGGCCTTCTCATAGTGTAGTAAGCTATTCTGAATTATTTAATTTATTTCTGAACAGACAGCTGCAGCTGCTCCAGAACCCTTCGCGCGGCTATGATTCTACAAGGAAATACATGATGAAGTGCAACGCTGGAGAGATGATAGTTGAAGGCTCATGTCTATCAGAGCAGAGGGAAGGAGAGAGATCACAGAACGTGAATCTCATTCTAATTCTGTGAGAGATACAGGCGCTACTCACACAGCCACCGCCACGTGTAGGTCGCAAACACAGGTTACAATGTTGCACAAACCATAAGCACCCGCCGGCCCAACCCTATCCAACTTTTCGAATATCCGGCCCGGGCTGATTACGTTATTTTCGGGGGGCAGGAGGAGCCGTACTCCGAATGAACTTTGATGTATTTTATTATATAATTTTTTACATAGCAAAAAGTGAAGAAAAAAAATAATGACAGGAGAGGTACAGGAACGGCCAAATAGGTTCCGGAACGAAACAGTTCAAAACGGAGATGTGCCGGATCCTGTTCGGCTCAAATTAAGCACTGCTCACAGAAACTGCTTAGCCTAAAAAACCCAGCAGCGTTGCAGTTCTTGACACAAACCGGTGCACCTGGCACATACTACCATACCCCGTTTAAAGGCACCTAAATATTTTGTCTTGCCCATTCACCCTCTGAATGGCACACATACACAATCCATGTCTCAATTGTCTCAAGACTTTAAAAATCCTTCTTTAACCTGTCTCCTCCCCTTCACCTACACTGATTGAAGTGCATTTAACAAGTGACATCAATAAGGGATCATAGCTTTCACCTGGATTCACCTGGTCAGTCTATGTGATGCACAGGAGGTTGGTGGCACCTTAATTGGGGAGGATGGTCTCGTGGTAATGGCTGGGGGCGGAATCAGTGGAATGGTATCAAATACATGGTTACCATTCCATTTGCTCCATTCCAGCCATTATTATGAGCCATCCTCCCCTCAGCAGCCTCCACTGATGTCATGGAAAGAGCAGGTGTCCTTAATGTTTTGTACACGCAGTGCCTTCAGAAAGTATTCCCACCCCCTTGACTTTTTCCACATTTTGTTGTGTTACAGCCTGAATTTAAAATAGTTTATCCCATAATGTCAAAGTCACATAGTAAGTTGCATGGACTCTGTGTGTCATAATAGTGTTTTAACTAGATTTTTTTTGAATGACTACCTCATCTCTGTACCCCAACACATACAATTATCTGTAAAGTCCCTCAGTCGAGCAGTGAATTTCAAACACAGGTTCAACCACAAAGACCAGGGAGGTTTTCCAGTGCTTGCAAAGAAGGGCACCTATTGGTAGATGGGACATTAAAAAAAACACACAAAAAAAACAGACATTGAATATCCCTTTGAGCACGGTGAAGTTATTAATTACACTTTGGATGGTGCATCAATATACCCAGTCACTACAAAGATACAGGCGTCCTTCCTAACTCAGTTGTCGGAGAGGAAGGAAACCGCTCAGGGATTTTCACCATGATGTCAATGGTGACTTTAAAACATTTACAGATTAACAGTTAATGGCTGTGATTGGAGAAAACTGAGGATGGATCAACAACATTAGTAGTTACTCCACAATACTAAATTGACAGAGGTAGCCTGTACAGAAAAAATATATTCCATAACATGCATCCTGTTTGCAATAAGGCACTAAAGTAAAACTGCAAAAAATGTGGCAAAGAAATTAACTTTATGTCCTGAATACAAAGAGTTCTGTTTGGGGCGAATCCAACACAATACATCACTAAGTACCACTCTTCATATTTTCAAGCATGGTGGTGGCTGCCTCATGTCATGGGTATGCTTGTCATCGGCCAGGACTAAGGAGTTTTTCAGGATAAAAATAAACGGAATAGAGCTAAGCACAGGCAAAATCCTAGAAGAAAACCTGGTTCAGTCTGCATTCCAACATACACTGGGAGACAAATTCACCTTTCAGCAGGACAATAACCTAAAACACAAGGCCAAATATACACTGGAGTTGCTCGCCAAGATGACATTGAATGTTCCTGAGTGGCCTAGTTACAGTTTTGACTTAAATCGGCTGGAAAATCTACAATGTATTGACTCAGGGGTGTGAATACTTATGTAAATAAGATATTTCTGTATTTCATTCTCAATAAATGTGCTAACATTTATAAAAACATGTTTTCCCTTTGTCAGTATGAGGTATTGTGTGTAGATGGGTGAGATTATTATTATTTTTTAAATCCATTTTGAATTCGGGCTGTAACACAACAAAATGTGGAATAAGTCAAGGGGTATGAATACATTCTGAAGGCAGTGTATTCCTATGACCCATGTAGGGCAGGGCTGGGCAACTCCAGTCCTCTGGGGTCTGATTGGTGTTACACTTCTGCCCCGGCCCCAGCTAACACACCTGACTCCAATAATCAACTAATCACGATCTTCAGTTTCGAATGCAATTAGTTTCATCAGCTGTGTTTTCCCGGGATGGGGAAAAGGTGTGACACCACTCTGGCCCCCGAGGACTGGAGTTGCCCATCCCTAACGTAGGGTATAATTGCACACCACTTTCTATATAATATTTACATTTACATTTTAGTCATTTAGCAGACGCTCTTATCCAGAGCGACTTACAGTTAGTGAATGCATACATGTTTTTTTGTTTGTTTATTTATTTTTTCATACTGGCCCCCCGTGGGAAACGAACCCACATCCCTGCCGGCCAAACCCTCCCCTCCCTTGGACGACGCTGGACCAATTGTGCGCTGCCCATGGGTCTGGTCCTAGCCTGAAATCCAGACCTGTTTTGTGCTAACATTCCACTCCTTGCCAAACATGACAAGGAGTAGCAAGGAGTGGAATGTTAGCACAAAACAGACTGGTACCCAGGCTAGTCTGGTACTGGTTCTTCTCCACCATCTTCTCCCTCCTTCTTTCTCTCTTTCTTTCATTTCTTTCTCTTTTCTCTTTCCTTTGCCTTATAAAGTGCTATGAGAGCTTTCCTGTTATTTATTACATATGATCTAGTATCTAATGTTATCATTCTATACAGTATCTAATGTTATCATTCTATACAGTATCTAATGTTATCATTCTATACAGTATCTAATGTTATCATTCTATACAGTATCTAATGTTATCATTCTATACAGTATCTAATGTTATCATTCTATACAGTATCTAATGTTATCATTCTATACAGTATCTAATGTTATCATTCTATACAGAATCTATCTAATGTTATCATTCTATACAGAATATATCTAATGTTATCATTCTATACAGAATCTATCTAATGTTATCATTCTATACAGAATATATCTAATGTTATCTTTCTATACAGAATCTATCTAATGTTATCATTCTATACAGTATCTAATGTTATCATTCTATACAGAATCTATCTAATGTTTACTTCTATACAGAATCTATCTAATGTTATCTTTCTATACAGAATCTATCTAATGTTATCATTCTATACAGTATCTAATGTTATCATTCTATACAGAATCTAATGTTTACTTCTATACAGAATCTATCTAATGTTATCTTTCTATACAGAATCTATCTAATGTTATCTTTCTATACAGTATCTAATGTTATCTTTCTATACAGAATCGAATGTTTACTTCTATACAGAATCTATCTAATGTTATCATTCTATACAGAATCTATCTAATGTTATCTTTCTATACAGAATCTATCTAATGTTATCTTTCTATACAGTATCTAATGTTATCTTTCTATACAGAATCTAATGTTTACTTCTATACAGAATCTATCTAATGTTATCATTCTATACAGAATCTATCTAATGTTATCTTTCTATACAGAATCTATCTAATGTTATCTTTCTATACAGAATCTATCTAATGTTATCTTTCTATACAGAATCTATCTAATGTTATCATTCTATACAGAATCTAATGTTTACTTCTATACAGAATCTATCTAATGTTATCTTTCTATACAGTATCTATCCTATGATGTTGCACTGCAGCAGACTGAGACATTGGAGACTCACAAATGTTTATAAAATAAGATATAACATACTTTATTACAGCATATTATAAAAATAATAAGCCAGCGCAATATGAGTAGCTACCTACAACTGTATTAAATCTGATCTGGATCATATCATGTAACAAGTCAATATGAGTAGCTACCTACAACTGTATTAAATCTGATCTGGATCATATCATGTAACAAGTCAATATGAGTAGCTACCTACAACTGTATTAAATCTGATCTGGATCATATCATGTAACAAGTCAATATGAGTAGCTACCTACAACTGTATTAAATCAGATCTGGATCATATCAAATAACAGGTAAACAGTAGCCAACATTTATGAATGGGCTATTATATCAGAGTTTACACCACTGTCTCTTGATGTCATAGAGATCACAGTCTACACTGCTGTCTCTTCATTGTCATAGTGATCACTGTAACCTGACTACACCTCGGTCCCTTGGTTGTCAAAGTGATCAGACTGGTCATCACTGTAGTATTCCTGTTCCTGTTCCGAACACGGCGTCATGATGGGCGTGCCCTCCTGGTATAGGGCCTCGTAGCTGTCAATCACAAATGCTCCCGACTGGGCCAACATCCATTTCAGTTCTGCAGGAGGGGTCAGAGGTTAGAGAGAGAGAGAGAGAGAGAGAGAGAGAGAGAGAGAGAGAGAAGGATAGAGAGGGAAGTTATCGCTATAGCGAGAGGCTACCTAGCTCTAAGCTCTGCCTTCTGCAGACTCTCTCTCTCTTCTCCTTCTCTCGCTCCTCTGCTCTCCTCTCTCTGTCTCTCTCTCTCTCTCTCTTTCTCTCTCTCCTCTTCCTCTCTCTCTCTCTCTCTCTCTCTCTCTCTCTGTTCTCTTCTCTCTTTCTCTCTCTCTCTCTCTCTCTCTCTTCTCTGTCGCTTCTCTCTCTCTTCTCTCTTCTCTCTCTCATCGCCTGCTCCTGCTCTCTCTCTATCCCTCTCTCTCCCCTTTTCCCCTACTGTTTCAAAGTTTTGGGGGTCACTTAAAATGTCCTTGTTTTTCCATGAAAACATACAGGAAATTAGTTTGAATAGGAAATAATAGCAAATGAATAGGAAATGTAGTCATCGACAAGTTTAGAAATAATGATTTTTAATAGAAATAATAATTGTGTCCTTCAAACTTTGCTTTAGTCAAAGAATCCTCAATTTGCAGCAATTACAGCCTTGCAGACCTTTGGCATTCTAGTTGTCAATTTGTTGAGGTAATCTGAAGAGAATTCCCCCCATGCTTCCTGAAGCACCTCCCACAAGTTTGGAGTGGCTTGATGGGGCACTTCTTACGTACCATACAGTCAAGGTGCTCCCCCACAACAGCTTAATAGGGTTGAGATCCGGTGACTGTGCTGGCCACTCCATTATAGACAGAATACCAGCTGACTTCTTCTTCCCTAAATAGTTATTGCATAGTTTGGAGCTGTGCTTTGGGTCAAAGTCCTGTTGTAGGAGGAAATTGGCTCCAATCAAGCGCCGTCCACAGGGTATGGCATTGCGTTGCAAAAATGGATTGATAGCCTTCCTTCTTCAAGATCCCTTTTAACCCTGTACAAATCTCCCACTTTACGCACCACCAAAGCACCCCCAGACCATCACATTGCCTCCACCATGCGTGACACCAAGCACTCCTCCCAGCAATCTTTTCATTTGGTCTGCGTCTCACAAATGTTCTTCTTTGTGATCCGAACACTTCAAACTTCGATTCGTCTGTCCATAAACACTTTTTTTCCAATCTTCCTCTGTCCAGTGTCTGTGTTCTTTTGCCCATCTTAATCTTTTTCTTTTTTATTGGCCAGTCTGAGATATGGCTTTTTCTTTGCAACTCTGCCTAGAAGGTCAGCATCACGGAGTCGCCTCTTCACTGTTGACGTTGAGACTGGTGTTTTGGCGGGTACTATTTAATGAAGCTGGCCAGTTGAGGACCTGTGAAGCGTCTGTTTCTCAAACTAGACACTCTAATGTATTTGTCCTCTTGCTCAGTTGTGCACCGGGCCTCCCAGTCCTCTTTCTATTCTGGTTAGAGACAGTTTGCGATGTTCTGTGAAGGGAGTAGTACACAGCGTTGTACGAGATCTTCAGTTCTTGGCAATTTTCTCGCATGGAATAGCCTTCATTTCTCAGAACAAGAATAGACTGACGATTTTGATCCTGTAATCGAACCCACAATTGCTGATGCTCCAGATACTCAACTAGTCTCAAGAAGGCCAGTTGTATTGCTTCTTTAATCAGCACAACAGTCCTTCAGCTGTGCTAACATAATTGCAAAAGGGGTTTTCTAATGATCAATTAGCCTTTTAAAATGATAAACCTGGATTAGCACAAACACAACGTGCCATTGGAACACAGGACTGATGGTTGCTGATAATGGGCCTCTGTACGCCTATGTAGATATTCCATAAAAAATCTGCCGTTTCCAACTACAATACATTAACAAGGGCTACACTGTATTTCTGATCATTTTATGTTATTTTAATGGACAAAAAAATGATTTTCTTTTGGGAAAAAAATGACATTTCTAAGTGACCCCAAACTTTTGAACGGTAGTGTACGTGTGTGTATTTGTGTCTGTCTGTCTGTGTGCGCGTGTGTGTGTGCGTGTGTGTGTGTGTGTGTGATCCTGGCCTGCATGTGTGTGTGTGTGTCTGTGTGTGTGTGTGTGTGTGTGTGTGTGTGTGTGTGTCTGTGTGTGTGTGTGTCTGTGTGTATGTGTGTCTGTGTGTCTGTGTGTGATCCTGCCTGCATGTGTTGTGGTGTGTGTGGTGTGTGTCTGTGTGGTGTGTCTATGTGTGGTGTGTGTGTGTGGTGTCTGTGTGTCTGTGTGTGTGTGTGTGTGTGTGTGTGGTGTGTGTGTGTGTGTGTGTGTGTGTGATCCTGCTGTGTGTGTTGTGTGTTCTCACCATCTTCCAATACGTTTCCTCCCCTCCACAGGCCTCCCTCCTATCATCGAGTTGAGGAATTCATCCTGAGTCGTATATGAACAGGGTGGGGAGGGGGCTGACAGGGATGTTTGGGGTACACACTGCCTGCTACGAATCATCATGGAACTTGCACTCAGGGAATTTAGATTGGTCCATGTGACTCAAGTGGTGAGTCACATCAAGGATAAACCCCATAGGTACACTGCATAGGGGGGAGAGAGAAAGGAGAGAAGAGGGGGGAGAAGGAAGGGCAGGGAGTTTTCGCTCTCTCTTTCCTCCTCTCTCTCTTTTATTCTAGCTCTCTCTTTTTTCTCTCCCCTCCTTTTTTATCTTTTTTTTTTCGCCCTTCTCGCTCTCTCTCTTTTTTTTTTGTTTTGTCTTTTTCGTTTTCTTTTTTCATCATCTTGTTTTTTCTTTTTTTTTTTCTCTCTCCTCTCCTCTCGCTCTCTCGCTTCTTCCTTCTCTCTCTCTCTCATCCTCTCCCTTCTCTCCTCTCTTCCTTTTTTTTTTTTTCTACTCCCCCTCTCCTCTCCCGCTTCTTTCCTTCTTGTATGTTTATTTCTCCTGCTCTCCTCTGCACGCTTCTCTCGCTCCCACCCCTTTTTTTTGTTTTTTTTTCCTTTCTTTTTTTTTCTTCTATCCTCTCTCTCCCATTTTCCCTTCCTCCCTACTCTTTTTTTTTCTCTCTTCTCTTCCTCTTTCTTCTGCCCTCCTCTCTTTTTTTGCTTTCTTTTTTTTCTTTTGTTTTTTTTTTACTTCTTTTTTTCCTTTGTCTTTTTCTCTTTTTTCTTTTTTTGCTTTTCTATTTTGTTTTTTTTTTTTTTTTTTTCTTTCTTCGATTTTTTCTTTTTTTTTTTTTTTTTTTTTTTTTTAACTTTTTCGAGCCCCCCTTCCTGCTTCTGCCTCTTTTTTTTCTCTGTCTCTCTTTCTATTTCTCTCCTCTTCTGCTCTTTCCTTCCTCTTCTTCCTCCCCCCGTCTGTCCCCCTTTCTTCCCTCCCCCTCCTTTTCCTCTCTCTTTCTCCACCTCTCTCTTGCCATCTTTCTTTCACTCCACCTACCCCCCCCCCCCTTTCCCTACCCCGCGTCGCCCCCCCCCCCCCCCCCCCCCCTCCTCTCCCCCCCCCTGTCTCTGGTGGTCGGCGCCTGCCGCTTTCATCGTTTGTCTATTCTGGTATACGCTTCCTAGCCTTGTAAACAAAACTGATCCTAAGGCCATTTTTGTGAGTTTTGATCATAATAGATTTCTATGTCTCTCCTTATGCACGTATCCTAAAGTGACTCCGACCAGTCAAGATCTCAACTAACCAACTCACCTGTGTGGTAGAGTGCGTCCCAGCGTTCCCACGTGGCCCCACATCAGGTCTCTCCTTTCATTGATCGCCGTTACCATCCCTTCCCTCCGTGCCTCTCGCTCTTATCCTCCTGACTTTAGACCGTTACTTTCTCCTCTTCCCCTGTCGTCTCACTGTCATCCTCTCACACTCAGTTCAAGGCCCTTATGATGGACACAACCTGGGATATGTGGTTTTCCTGTCTGCTTCTCTTCTTCTCCTTCTTCTCCTTTCTCTTCTCCTTCTTCTTCTTATCTGTCTTTCTCTCTTCTTTCGTTCCTCCTCTTCTTTCTTCTTCAATGTCTTCTTCTATTTTCTATTCTCTTCTCTTCTTCTTCTTCTTCTTCTTCTTCTGCTTCTCTCTTCGTTGGCTTCTTCTTCTTCTTTCTTCGTCTTTTCTTACTCTATTCTTCTCTTCTTCTCTTCTTCTGTCTTTTCTTCTCTCTTCTTCTCGCTTCTTCTCTATTCTTCTTCTCTTCTTTCTCCTTCTTGTTCTTCTTCATTCTCTATCTTCTCCCTTCGTGTTATTCTCTCCCTTCTCTTTCTTCGTCTTTCTCCTTCTCACCCACTCTTTTCTTCTTGTCCTTCCTCTACTTCCCCTCTCTTCCTCCCTTCATCACCATCACCACACAACCTTTTAACACACCCTCTCCTCCTCTTTCTCCACATACCCACCAAACATGTAACCCTCATTTCTTCCCCTCCTCCTCTTCCTCCATCATACTCCCCTAACAACATTAACCTCATATTCTTCCTCCTCCCCTCTTCCTCACATACTCCCCTACACATTAACCTCAATTCTTCCTCTCCTCTTCCTCACTCCTCTTCCTCCTCATCTTCCTCCCCACTGACTCTTCTATTATCACACATACATACGCCTCCTCCCCTCCTCCCCTCATCTCCTCCTCACTCCTCGCGTCTCTCCTGGGATTTTTCCCTTACATCTTCTTCTCTGTCTTTTAACTCCCCACAGAGCAGATCTAGCGGGGAGGTCTAGGATGAGAAAATTTACCCACTCTATGTTGGTTCTCGACTACATGTACGTTAGGTATAACTGTCCAGATCTGTTTGTGCCTCTACTACAAGTACGCTAGGTAATAACTGGTCCCAGCTCTGTTGTGCTCACTACAGTACCTGGTATAACTGGTTCCCAGCTCTGTTGTGCGCTACTACATACGCTAGGTATAACTGTCCCAGATCTGTTGTATCTACTACAGTACGGCTGGTATAACTGGTGGTCCCAGATCTGTTGTCTCTACTACAGTACTCTAGGTATAACTGGTCCCAAAATATCTGTTGTGCTCTACTACAGTACGCTAGGTATAACTGGTCCCAGATCTGTTGTGCTCTACTACACTACGCTAGGTATAACTGGTCCCAGATCTGTTGTGCTCTACTACAGTACGCTAGGTATAAACTGGTCCCAGATCTGTTGTGCTCTACTACACTACGCTAGGTATAACTGGTCCCAGATCTGTTGTGCTCTTGCCAACTCCATTGGCATGGCAATGAGAGACAAGGGAGTTGGCATGATAGCACAAACAGACATGGTGTGTGGTGTGTGTGTGTGTGTGTGTGTGTGTGTGTGCGTGTGTGTGTGTGTGTGTGTGTGTGTGTTTCAGCCGACCGTGGTTATCATTATTCAGGTCCCATATGGTCAGGCACTCAAAGCAGCTCCTATCTCTTCTGGCTTGGTTTTCATTGGCTTGCTGGGAGGTAAACAAACATGTTTACAGATAAACAAACATAGTAAACAAACAAGGAGAGTAAACAATGAAACGGACAATACGTCTTTCTTCCACATCGTAGGAGACTAATCAGGCTAGTCCTTAAGAGTCTATTGACGTACTCGTGTGTCAATCTAATTAACATAATACACAAATCCTCATCAAAAATCTTCTGTTTAAACTAGAGTTATATAATTTTTTTGCGTGGGCTGCGTCTCAATCCACTACATCCGCCCATGTCTCCCTTCCACATCTGTGGTGGAAAGTGGCAGAGCTAGAGCGCTGTTTTCAGATCAGGAGACATCCCGGAAAATCGGGCTTCTCATGAAATCGTCCTGACCGTTTGTGACCCCCACCCCCTTATGGAAAGGGGAGACTCTCACGAATAAAAATGGTGTTCTCCGTTTTTCTCTGTGACCCCCACAAATGTCACGGGACTCATCTGAAGGTAAACCGGTACCAGTTTAAAAAATGAATGGAATTATGGAGATTTGTGCCAACAAAATAAGGGGTTAAATGTATCCCAAAACAGGTATTTTTTTCTTAGCTGTCTTATATCTACTAGATACAGGACAGACACTTCAAAACCTTATTCCTTATGATTAACTTTTGGATTCCTTATGATTAACTTGTGTTTTGCCATTTATAAATTGTGTTACTCTCAATACGTTTTTATGGGCTATAGTAGTGAAGGCCCCCCCCAAAAAATAAAAATAAATAATGTTTTTTTTATACCTACAGGGGTCTTAAAATTCTAAATCAAATAGCTAAATGATCCATGGTATGACCATTGTAAAACACTTCAAATATGTAAGCTTAGACATTCAGGAGCTAGTCATATCAGAGCGAAATGTATTGAGTACCATTTAACTATAAATCTGAAAACTTTAGGCAGCAGCCTCTACAAATAATAGTTTTTAACTGTCAGAATATAGGTATTGAGCTTTACTGGGGGGTTTAGATAATAGTTTAGCCTACTCTGTACTCACCTGCATTGTCCCTCAAAGATGTTCAGATCATATGCATGGAAATATGAATATTCTGTCACATAGAAGCACAGAAACAAGTTTACTTTCAAATCAAAACACAAAGACAGTGATGTCATTATAGAGTTGAGTTAGAACTGGAAAACATTTAGAACTCATTCTAATAGGTCCTTATCAATAAGACGTCACAATAAGGTAGAGAGCGTTCGATTTGCCTGCAGGGGGGGGGGGCAAGGAGAGCAGCAGCCCCGCTAAAACCATTGAAAACTGAGTGCCGTTTTTTCAAGGGATCGATTCAATAAATGTTAACTATTTGGTTGTAATATCATCACCTCTATGGTTTTAGCATCAGAGTGAAACACTCAAGTTGTCCTCGGTTGAACTGAAATACCACAAAGCTGAAATACCACACACTAACCAGGTTTCCATCCAAGCTTTGTACACTGTATTCCCAAACAGTTGTACTAGCTCATAAGTAATAAGGTCATAACAGTCAAATGTCGTTATGCAGTTGACCAAACTATAAAGTTTTGAGCTCTGTTGAGATTTATGCCACTTTAATTGAAGAGGGCTCAATATTTTATAGGTAATTTGTGTGGAACGCTCAAAAAGTTTAGGTAGTGTCATGACGTTATCGACGTCATGACGTTCTGGTGGGTGGGTCATCTCTCCTCAGGAAAGCTGAGTCAGCCATCTTGAATTTAGCCGAGATGCGGGGATGTTTGGGCCGCCGGTGTGGATGTGGAACACAGTTTAATTTGTTTTAATTTGTTTGCAATGCGCACTTTTATGCTGCCCGCTTGAAACCACCACCACCTCCGTTTTTATCATTAGTCTTATTGCCCTCGTTTTCTTAAGCGCCATCTATCATCACCTCTGATTTGGTAAGTAACTCTGTTTTTTTTTTTTTTTTCAATTGAATTTCGATAGTCTTAAATGTGGAACTGGGAATACATTTGTACAATGTGCACAGTGAATATTCGTTGTAAATAGTGTAAAAATCCAAGTAATTGTAACTTTAGAAGTTGTTAAATATGTGATAAATACGTTACGTTACTTCATCTTACAACGTTG